TTTAAAAAAGCTGCATGAAAGAATTATGACAAAATATGGAAAGGGAAGGACCAAAAATATGAGATTTAAAAATTATAGAGTAGTTGCTAAACATTATGAAAAAGGAAAAGAACTGAGTACACAGGACCCACTCAAGGGATGTTTTAGAGTGATGGAATTTTTTTAAATAGTAGTGGGCCTATAAGTAATAGTCAAAAAGGAATGTTTAACCATTAACAGTGATTATTACTAATTGAAAACAAAAAAGCCAATAAATTAGGATGGCATGAAAATATAATATAAAAATGAACCTAACATAATAAAAAATGCATAGCATGGCTTCCCTGAAATGAGGGGAGAGAATTACTAACTAAAGGTTATCTTTAGAGTTAAGAAAAAAAAATTATCTTTAACATCAGTCTGCATTTTTGAACTGAAAATTATTTAAAACATGATGTTAGTCAGGGAGATCCGTAAAACACTGCAGGTTCCTGCTATTCCATTTGATTACCTCAGAACTAAGTGAGAAGACCTTTTCTTGATACCACACACCTCAGAAGCATAAGACAGAGGAAGTGAGCTGGAAAATTTTGCAGGAAGCTTCTTCTCTCCAGGGTAGTTTCCATGGTCCCAGAAAATTCTGTTCAGTCTGCTGGGCAGAAAGGCCACTGATGGCCTGTGTATCCTGTGTGCCCTCTTGATTTATGGTGGCATTACTGATATGGAGAGACACACCACTCAAGAGAGGGATATCATAAGTTCAATCAGGCATGAAGGTAGAGCTTTATTCTCTTGTTTATTTAAATTGACATAGTGTCCAACTGCCTTCTAAATAAGTACATATGTTTCTAGTTATAAACAATTACCACTGCAGGTCTTAATCAAAGAAATCCCATTTCCGGAGAACAAAGGTGTCCACAACAATTTATGGCTGAACAAGGTGAAGAGAATGGGTGACACAAGATTCTTCAGCCATAAACAACCACCCTTAGTGAAGCTCAGAGGACACTGCAGAAGAGGGGTTAGAAAAAATGTAAGAGCTAGAAAATAAGGGCTGAGAAATAAGATTTGGGCAAGGGAGAGGCTTCCCTTTAAAGCCCAGAGGGGAGTCATTAAGAGTCAGCCTAAGGACTCAAGACCAACAGCTGTGGAGCCTCCATGGGACCAAACTAGGCTCTCTGCATGTGGGAGACAGTTGTGAAGCTTGGACTATCTGAAGGGCCCCTGGTACTAGGACTAGGATTTACCCTTGGTACATGAGCTAGCTTGTTGGAGTACCCCTTCCCTATGGTAAGATGCCATGCTCAGGCTTAACTCAGGGGAGAGGGGCTTGGTCCTTGCCCCAACTAAATGTGCTAGACTTTGTAAACTCCCAATGGGAGCCCTTAACCTGTTTGGAGGAGTGGAAGAGGATGGGAGGGGGGACTCTTTAAAAGGATTATAATTATATTTTAGCAATATTCTCCTTTGGTTCTTTCCCTGGTTTCATTTCATTTTTCTTCTTGTTTACATGAATTCTAACCAACTGTCTGTGATTAAATCTTTGTTCTCTCTCTCTCTCTCTCTCTCTCTCTCTCTCTCTCTCTCTCTCTCTCTCTCTCTCTGTGTGTGTGTGTGTGTGTGTGTGTGTGTGTGTGTGTGTGTGTGTGTGTGTGTGTGTGCAGTTCTCCATTCTCCATGAGTAGCTCATTTTAGTCTTGAACGATCAATGTCTTTGCTATTCCTTCTTCTTCTGTTTCTACCATGTTGGCTTTTCATTTCTCATTAATAATTGTGACAGGAAAAAATGGAATCCATTAATTGATGAGGGCAAAA